AAGATGTAAAATAAGTGAAATAAAAATGATATAATATAACTGTAAATTGCTATTCTGATCTTATGCTTTATAATATTTTGATAGACCTTAAAAGGAAATATAATGTGTACAATTGAAGCAAATTTGCTTCATGTTGAAATATGATTACATTAAACTGCAGTATAAAGTGGACTTTTTAAAGATATTATTTTATGTTCATGTAAGAACTATATAGTTTTCAACAAGAAAGATAAACAAACATACTTGTTCTATGCACACTATGAAGTTCAGATTGCGTTCACTCATTTTTCATTTAAATTGATAGCTATAAGTTTTATATTTACTGAACAAAAAAAATTAACATTCTTAAACAAAAAGTTTCTCGCCGTTTTAAAACTATACAGCCAATACGGCGAAATAATAAAAAACTTTAAAGAAGAGTCAAATATGAAAGGGAATTACATGGGCTGATTTTCCGAGAAGCGAGTAAAAATATATAAAAAAAAAAAAACTTTTTGGTTATTATACGAGCCGTTATTTTTCACTTCATTTGATATCTCTATACTTGGAATCGACCTCAAAAAGGGTTGTTGGTTTGTTGATAGAAAATCCGGCTTTTTATCTGGAAACGCTTGGACGTGCTACTAGATATTTAGTGCGGCGTTTATTTTGCAAACAGCGTTTTAACAATAACAAAAAGTGTACACATACTAAATGGAGTGTGTGTACAATGAAAATCAACTGAACACAATATTATATTTTGACGTTTGCTTTGTATGCATGACAAAATAAAGCGGAAACCCTAAAGAGACCAGACATCAACATCTGCTTGAAAGTGTATCACGTACGCGATGCAAAATTTGAAGAACTTGATGATGAATCATTATATTGGTGGAAAAAAATTATTGAGACGAATGAAAGTTTAAAACACATCAATCATTTGATGTATTCATAAATTACCAACTATCATATAATTAGTGTAATATTAATATAGAAAGTTTGCTTTTATGTTCTTTAAATATAACATTAATTAAAATAAAATTATTTACATCAACTCATATATTGTTTGAAAAACTAATTTTAAAGAATATGCTTAAACAAATTGAAACATTTTTTAAGCATGTCCTAAGTTTGTTATTAAAAATGTTATGTTCTTAAGAAGAAGACTGCTCGAACGCCATTAAATTTAATGATTACCTTATAAGTTTTTCTATCAATTTTAATATCTATGCTAGAAATATCATTCTTCATTTCAGAATAAATACTTGTTCTTAATATTTTTTTTTTAATAGCATTTTATTGCAAAAACTGGTTATTGATTACGGGTTTAAAGTTTTTATTGACCTAATGTTTATGTGTTTTTTATATTTTTATCAGGAAAACAACCGTTTGTTATTTAAATTGGAAGAACGAAATTATAGACAATTTTCTTTGTTTTACGATATTATTACGAAGTCTGATAAAAACACTAAAATATTTGATCGTAACAAAAACTATACTAAAATTCATTAACCAACTCATCAATTATTTTCGATCGATTCAAATGGAAACTGTTATAAAATAGGTACTGAAATAATCTATTAACATTAATTTTGATGTTTTATGAACTATCGAACGTGTATATTTGTGGTTTCATTTATATAAGTGCATAAAAATATGAAACGCATAAAAAAAGTATAATTTTTAACCTCTTTTCTTAAGAATTTCGTATAATAATTCTCAAATATGAAAAACGAACAGCTATAAAAGTAAGAAAGAAATAGAAAATCAAGTCTAGTTGAACAGTATTAACGTTCAGAGAATACTGTATTGTTTTGTCCCTTTTGACCCGTTTTTTTTACGACACATCTTACAGCAGTAATTTCTATTTTGGTTACACCTCGGTGGTCAATAATACACTTACCAGATTGAAATAAAAATTATGTATCCATTTAGCTTACGACCAAATACTAGGTGGAGGATACATCAGGTGAAATGAGGTTAATCTGGGAATGAAAATTAACTATTTAAGTGTCATTTTACAGTCATGCATTTATGAAATAATCCAAGTACTCTAATGTCAATTCTCTGTTGTGAGACGCTGAAAATAATTTTAAAGAAATTTCGATTTTAATTGAAATCGATATTTTAACATTGATTTCCCGACATTAAATTGAAATATTTTTCTTAAAATTTGTAATACAGTAAATATTGTATAATAACTTAAATATAGTAGTAGTCTTAAGCAGAGTTTGAATAAAAATCATTTATTTTATTTTTACGCTATAAAAATTTAATGTTAACAATGTTATTAATAATTAATAATAATCAATTATAAATAATTGAAACGTTATGCATTTATGTTTTCCATGATGTTAATTTAAAACAATAACAATTTTTATGTTTTTCGATAATTAAACGTTTTTTTTTACCTCATTGTTTCCATCGTAATTTTATGTTGAGATACACTGGGTAGCAGTTATTTTTTCTCCAAATCCATTGTACCTTATAAGTTTTTACTAATTATCAATATGTTTTCATTTTCTGTTTAGTTTTGTTCTTGTTTTATTTTGTTTGTAGTTATGTGTTGTATGTCGTTATCATACATTTTTCGTGAATAGTTATACGTTTTTTTACGTTTTACAATTCCAATTGTTGGTTATAACGTTATGAAAATAACTTCAACCCCTTATTTTGATTATACGTAATCATCCACGATAAATGTTAAGTTTCATTGATAAATTTTTATCGTTAATCAATGTGGTCAAGAAAATATATAAAAAAAGTTGAATTTGCTGTATTATAAAAATGATTTTTATAAATCATTTAACATTTTGTATAGAACTTAAATTAAAGTTCAATACTAGTTGGTGATTGTTATGTATTTATTTTTACATTAAAACTAAAGACGAAAAATTGGCTCCTGTCCCATTGTTTTTATACTTTGTTTGAGAATACAAACGTTTATTATACTTTTTTTGTCTGCAACGCTCTTATGATTTGCATTTATTACATAAGTAATTATTGAAGAATATACTGAACTGGAATTAACTTCAATTAGTTATTTTTTTTTTATAATAAATTCTTAATTTGACTAGAAAAAAAAATTGACCATTATTTATTTATCTAAAATTGTTTAACAGAACACATTGTTGGCCGTACATGGACTTCTCTGGCGGCACTCTGTTCCGATTTATAGCCAATGATAACGGTTATACGAGTATATATTATTATTTTTTTTATTTAATTCTACTTCTTCTCCTAGTCACGGTTGATAATAAAATAAACTTTGCAAAACATTAGACGGCCTATAGTGCCGATTTCAGATAACAATCTTCGGGTGTTCTTAGGAATACTGCCATACTTAGGGTTTTTAAGCGGTCAACAAGCGTGCGTTAGTATAATAACCTGTTTATGATAATGGTTTGTGCATTTTTTTTTCGAGCAAATTGTCGGTAAAAATAATACTTCAATATAACGATTCGTATTCTCCCGTGGCTCTTGAACATATCAATTTAGTATAATACGTCGGTATGTGATATAATGTTGAAATAATTTCAATTTAAAACACAACGGATAATAATTACAAATAATTAAAAAGGACTATTGAAAAAATAGTTTTCCAAAAAAACATAGTAAGGATATTCATATCTTTCAAAGGGTTTAATTGTTTATGGAGTTTAAATCGAAAAATATTTTTTAATTCTAAGCTCACTTTTAATATTATTACAAAAAAGGTTTTTATGTATTAAAACTTTGGTTTATTTTCGTGAAATAGATTCCCGGAGTTAAGTAATAAACACACAAGTGTATTTTTGATGAAATTAATTTTAAGTTTTTTGATATTTAAACAAATTTTATAAGGAATAATTTAAGAAAAAATTGAATTAAAACAATAAGTTAATTTCAGGTTTATATATTTTTTTTTTTGTTATAAATTAGAGGTTGTAATCTAAAGCATGAATAAGAATATGAAATCCCAGATTGAATTTAAAAAGAATGATCATGTATTAAGTAAAAATAAATGTATTTAAGGAACCTTAGAGTATCATATGAAAAGGTAGAGAAAAGTCGCAAATGTTCTACCACTTATATATTTGCACTATCTTTTTTGCTAATAAGATTTTTGATAGTGTTTCACCTTATCATTTTAACATTTTGTATATTTTCTAAAATGTTCCTTCTATAAGTTGTTATCATTTTACTGAAGTTTAAAATTTACAATATTCAGTAGGATTAAAAAAAACCTTTTTTTGTTATTTTAGGATATACACTGATTTGTGAGCTTATAGCTATCAATATAAGACACTGTAAGGTAATATACTAATCTTGCATCAATGATTATAATTATCAATATATTTTTTTTAACGCTTTATAAGCCTTTTAATGGCCGCAGCGGTTTCCCCCAATTGAGGAGGGTTTTAAACCATTAATACTCCGGGACGGGTGGTTGGTCCCTCACTGGAGATGGGAATGGCGACTCCAATTACCGAACTGTTCTCTTGTTCCATGACCGAGTTTCGTAGCCGAGGCAGTGCACGTCAAGCACTTTCAAGTTACCTACTCAGCCACACCACCCCTCAATATACCGTCTCTTAATATTATCAATATTATAGTAAATAAAAATTAAATAAAAAAATATATTCTTATCAATATTTGTCTAACATGAATTTTTGATAATAAGTACTAAAATTATCTTGAGAAAATATTCCTAAAAATATCGATATAAAAAAATTAAAAAGCTAAACAATGTTAAAAGGTTAGATGCACAATATTTTGCTAACATTTTGTATACGATTTTCTAGAAATATTTTGTTATCATTAATTTAAAAATATATTGTACTTTATATTCTCCTACTCTTGTTAAAACCTTGCTATAATCTCAATATTATTCGACCATTATAAAAACATAATAGTAATATTAGTTTTATAATATTCCAATGTAATTATATATTTATATTATGATAATATTAATATTTTAGAAATGTTATTTGGGTAGTAAGGTAAAAAAAAGACACGTACACAATTTAAAATATATTGACATTGTGCTTTGAAAATAATTCAGGGATTTATATATTAACAGTTTTTTTCTAGTATTTATTTTTAAAGAACTTCTTAATCAAATAATATTTTTTAACAAGAATAATATTTTATTTGATAAAAAAATATAGAATATTATTGAAAATTCTTGTGTAAGTAAACTAAAATTTAGTCTTCTATATTATTCTCAAATTTTCTTAATAGATTTGTACTTAGGATTGTCAATAATATGTCTGAAAAACAAATATCATATGTAAATGAAAAATTTTATATTTTTAAGAGAATAACACTTCTAACAACTATTTTTTGATTTCATATACTTTTTTAAAAATTCATTAATATAATTCATTGTTTTAAAAAAAAGTTATGACAGTTTAAAATAAAGAAATTTTTTTTTGAAAATGCCGTTTTATTCGGTAGCGTAATTTTGAGGTAGTCATCTAAATTAGTGGGGATTTTTTCTAATTTTTGGCATCTAATGGTACAATTTGATTTAAATCGAGTTCGTTTGACGTATTTATCATTAAAATTGGTGCAATAAGAGCTAAAAATTTTAATTGAGTCCTAAAAATAACGTACAATGTCGTAGTATTAAAATGTCGAAATAAAGGGACATACTTATAAATTACTTTATACTTTCCAAAAAGAATTGTATTAATCCATACAATTTTCGGAAAATTATAGCAATATAAAGTTGAAAATATAAAATATGAAATCAAATATTTTAATGCAAAAATAGTATGTTTTGATGACTGTGCCCGTTTTTTTCACTATGACAAATGTTTTTTTTTTTATAAAAGTATATTTTATACATTTTAATATAATATATATTTAAAGCTTGAAGTATTTCCGGAACATTTTCTAAAGTTAAGTTGAAGAGATTAATTTTTTAAGTAAAAGTAGCGATTTTGAATCCCTTTTATGGATTTAAATGGCCTTTTTAATGACAGAATAAGGGTCAGATTTTAAAATATATTTATAAATAAAAGGAATTACTTTAAGTGCTTATAAATTTTTTTTTGTTTTGATTCATTTAATTAAAAAAAGTTATGACAATTTTAATTAAAACAATTTTATAAATAGTATATTTTTTTGGAAATTTCTCCATTTACGAAGAAAAGGAAATTATGTTAAATTTTGAAGGTAATGTCTTCAACTAGATACGATTTGTGGTTTTTTGACGTATTGTTGAAAAAAATCGGCTCAGTGAGATCTGAGAAAATGTAGTGACAGATATAACAAAAAAATAAATAAATAAATGCATAATGATAAAATTAATGCCTTATCATTTTCACGAGGAATTAAAAAAAGTGATAAATAAATAAAAAGTTATAATCCATGTCAGTAGATGTAAAATACTCCTTATACTAATATACAATTATTTTGTTTAATATGATAAGAAAATTTTTTTACTATGAAATAATAACTCTGAAAAAAATATGATAGTTTCTGTTTATAAAATTTAATAGTTTTCATATTAATTAATAATTTAATAGATTACTTTCGTATATCAAGTTTCCTTGTAAACCTTTTGTTATAATATGTACATGACTTTCTGGGATACCAGCAGCTACTAAGCATAGATTTACGTTTTCTACACTAACTGTACCATCTTCATTTTTAAACTTTTCAAAACAAATTCTTGAACTAGTGTAAAAATTGGCCAATATTTCTCCAAATTGTTTTTTTAATTCTTCAAAATTATACAAAGTTGGATCTAAGAATACAAAGGAAAATATAATAAGTAGACGAAATAATTGAGATTAATTTAGTATTTTTATAAAAGCATAATTTTCAGTCTTATTGTCTAACACGAATATAATACATACTATACAGAGCGATTCTTTTAATGCTAGCCACTTAATTTTTCTTAAAATAATTTTTATGTTGTGTCTTACCGACTGTGTCACTTGTTGTTTTCAGGGTAATTAACTAACAAGTATTTAATACTGTAAGTGAAATAAATATCACGAGATGTGTTTATTATACTATAATATCATTGAACAATAATAATAACAAAGTATTTATATCAATATCACAATATCTTAGTAAATTTATATTTCGATATTTGTCTGAGAAAAAGATCAATGGTGACAGGTTAAAAAAGATAGTCGAGTCATCGTGACCGGTTCACTCTGCCAATCGACCACCTCGCATTGGATGATCGACCAGTCGGTCATAAAGAGGAAGCGCCACAATCGCCATCTAGCCGTGAAACCAGAAGTGGGATGCTGCAATAATTATGTTAAGAAAATTATTTTTGGTATTTAATAATGCCATGTATTTCTTAATTTCTTAATTATTAATTACTTTCTTAATTTATCCTTTATACATAATAACGACGTCAACTTCGTTTTAAATTCTATGAGAAGCTGAGAAAGTATACATTTTTCTATGATGTACTTATTTTTTTTTATGACTGTCAATAATTTTTTTCAGCTCACACTGGACCAATTTTAATGACTAATACGTCAAAGGAACCCGATTTAAATCTAGTTGATCTAATAGTCGCCAAAAATTGGAGAAAATTCCCTCTAGTTGAATATTTTAAAATTACGCTATCATAAAAAGCGACATTTTACAAAAAAAAAAAATTTTCTTCATTTTAAAACTGCTGTAACATTTTTTTAAAAACACTGATCCCATCGAAATTTCAATACAGTATATGAAATCAAAAAAATGTTGTCTCGATGATTGTTCTATTATAAGAATTTGGCCGTCAAAGTATTCACAATTTGTTTGATAAAAGTATTTTATTCTAAAGTGTTTTTTTTAAATTAAATTTCACCACAAGTGATAGGGGTAAAGAACCTATTTTTAGTATAAAAACGAATTCTATATAACTATTATTTGTGGAGATATTTAATTTAAAAATACATATTTTAAATTAAGGATGTTTATTAAAATTATTGTGAATTTACTTTATAAAGCTTTAATTTGATGAAAGTTTGAAGAACGCAGTCGTTCTAGTACAAATCTAGTACCGCAAGTGTGAAAGATTTAAGTATAATCGACGCGATGATCATACATTGTATTTTTTTGGTGGATAAAAAGGAAAATTTAAGTTCGTTTAATATTTCAAATTCGTTATTACGATTTAAAAGAAGCAAAATATTTAAAATATATTTAACTATATTTTCAATTAAAGTTAGATTCATACAATTTTTATGAAATTCGGTGGCTTAATTACTATGGCCACACTTTATAAGGTATTTTAAATAAAAATATCGCCTAAATGTACATTTTTTAAAAAGTAAGAACGTTGTAAAGTTAAAATGACACAAAAAAATTAGCATAAAAATAACTTTTTTGGGAAGGGTAGAGATGTGGACCCAATTTATTTTTCATAAATTTGGAAAACGTTTAAAATTAAAAAAAAATATATTGTTTGTTAAATAATTTTTAAAACTGTACACTATTTACTGTATATTTAAAGTAAAAATAAATATTTTTGAATAAAAATTAAGGGAGATTGGTTCCCTCCTAACCTTTCTTTCTTGATATGCCAAAGCAGTTAACACTAATTTCTTAAATTTCTTAAGTTTATATGTAACAACTTGTTACATTTTTTTTAATTTTAGACATAAAACGTATTTTTTTTCTATAACTTTGAAGTCTATTTTTACTACAAAGACAAGTACAGAGGTCAATGTTTTTTGAAAATAAAGTGTATTACATAGGGTTTAATTTAAAATATATAAAAAAGTGTCAGTATTGCCACAAAATGTTCAAAAGTTGTCATTTTAAATATTCCCCTGTGGGCAGGTAGTTAGATTTTCAAAAAAAAAAAAGGTAAATATTTAAGGTATTTATAAAAGATGTTTGTTTCGATACATTCGTTTTTTCAAAAACTTATATCAGTTTTAAGAAAAAAAACTAACGAAAATTATTGATTTTTAAATTTTTTATTTTTTGAGTGTAATTTCTTCGACTAGATATGATTTTTGATATTTTAGCGTATTGTTCATTAAAATCGATCCAGTGAAAGCTGAGAATATAAGCTTACAGACACAAAAAAACGTATCATACAAAAATTAATACCTTTTCAACTTTGCATCGAAGCTAAAAACAATTTAGAGAGTATTTAATAGTAAATATTTATTAGAGCAATAAATCAATTTAAATAATGTATTCAATTTTCTATAAAAAGCTATAGATAAAAAAAGGTATTGCGTATTAATATCGTAAGTAATATGTGATACTTTGATGTTGTAAACACAGCTTCACTTATTTTGTTTAAAATCAATTACGTCTATAGCTTATTTATACAAGTGTATTTTGAAAAGAAATGTACTTATTGTATACACTCGTTTATTATGTTACAGACTTTCTAAATTAATTGTTGAACGTAAATGACTTTTTTTATTGAGAATCAAAAAATGCTAAATACAATAGTGATGAATAAAAAGACATATTTAACTTTATAATGCTATAACTTATTAATGAGTGTATGGATCAATATAATTTTTTATGAGAAATAATATTTATATCTCTCTTTCATTCGACATAATTATTTTTTAAATAACACCATTTCCCTTTATATATTTTATTTTAATTTTGTATTTTAACAATTTTATTTAAGAATTATTAACAATTTATAGTAGTGGTTGGAGTTGATACGAATGTTTTTGTTGTAGTCACTAGAAATTTTTGGCCATACTTCTTCTGCCTGGGTATAAAAATTTTTACAACTTTTGAAGTAATGGTCCAAAAATTGTCATTGTCCTAATATATGTATATTGTCATTTGAAAAAATAAAGTTGATACTCTTGTATGTTATAAGATGTGATGCAAAAAATAACAAATTAATAATGAGCTAAGAAGTATATATAACTGAAATAATCCAAAACATTTTTTTTAAACATTGTATTTATTTTACGGGTAATTGTTTAGTTAAATTTAGTGTTTAGGATAAATTTTACTTCAATATTAATTAAATTACATAATTCAATCAATTTCATGAAAAAAGTACTTAACTCTTCTGTGCGCCAAGTTATCAATATAATTCGAGTGAATACAATAAAGTAGTATTTATATTTATGTCAAAAAACTAATTTAACTGTCCCGTATTATAAAATAAAATGTAAACATTTGTAACATTATAAACATATTATTTTTCGATAATACCGCTTCTGCACGTCGACCAAAATTTGATGGACAATTAATACATGTAATGTGACATGCACTTTTAAATTGATAAAAATCAAGTTATATACTATGTAAATTACCATTGTAATCTTCCAGTTTAGTTGGATCTGTTTTAGATATTTTACAAAATGAACTCAAGACTTGCCTCGAATTTACCTCCTTTCTACTTCCATTGCCGAATGCATAACTAAAACAGCCTAATAAACTAAATAGAATTACATAAAAGTTCATTTTAAGTTTTTGTTATAAAAATAAGTTCTTATTTTATTCTTAAAGTTAAAATCACTTTAATATGTTTAATTAAAAAAAAATTGGTTATACCTTTGTACAATAATCGAATACATTCAGAAAATTATCTTTCTTTATAAGCCATTCGTAGATTGAACCATTTCTTTTTTTAGATTTGTAAAACATATTACAGAAATATTTTAAAATATTATGACGTGCGAGTACAACTTGATCACATATGTTTTAATAAAATCACCTCGTATTATAACAGATTTTTTTTTAATAAATGATATAAGCCGATATATTGATAAAAAATAAATTGAGTCACATAATTTTATAATATTTTAATACACCTATTTAATTTGAAAAAGTAATTGTTCAACCATCAAATTTTTGTCGAATAATTTATTAATTATAGTTATTATAGTCTTGATTAAATATGTATGTATTTATATATATATATATATATTGGCTATTATTGAAATTTTATTAAAAAAAGTTTACACTTATTTTTGTGTAGTGTAAAAATTAAAAAATTAAAAAAATTACATTTTTGAATGTTCAAAAATATTTTTTTTTCCGTCTAAAAATTACAATCTGTTTATTATAAAAGTTTAAACTATAATAACGCAGAACTAAAAAAAAAAAAATCTATGGTTTACATTATTTAGGTAAATTCTAAAAGACAATACACTATTAATTCTGGTTTAAGATTTGTTCCATCACATATAGTTTCTGATATAATTGCTAATTATTAATTGAGTGATAAATGGACACTTAAAATTTATAAAATATAAAAATATAATTTTTTTTAGCTTTTAAAATTTGTTTTAATCATGTTATAAAAGAGTTATGCATAATTTGAGACTACTGCGATAAGTTTAAATTATTTTTTTTAGACTTTATAAGTAAAATTCCTTTAGAATACATTTAAATATCATAAACTGCAGACATTTTTTTTGTCCTGTGCAATCGTTTATATCATTACATCTTCTGCAATATTATTTCAAAGAAAAATATGAAATTATAAATCGTTCAAGTGCCAGTTATCCCAACGATTATTAGTTAACTTATCTTTTATGTTTAGGATTTACTTATCGTTTTATTTTTTCAGATAATAATAATTAAAACAAATGCAGAGAGGTTTGATAGCATTTTGTCCACATATCCGCCATTGTTCACTTGACATATCGTTACCATAAGTTTGTTCGATAAATCAAAAATTAAACATGTTAAATGATTTTTAAACATTTATCATCTAAATGACACTTTTTACACTTAGAAAAAAGACCTTTTTTTAATTAATGGTATGACCTATTTTATTGTATTTTATAGTATTGAAACTACGACGAATTTCATTATTTCAATATTTTTCCCAAGATTAGTTATATCTTTATTTTAAAGCTATCATATTTAAATCGAAGATTAAAATATTTTTAAATTGTTAGAATATTATATTCAATCGTGTATCAATCAGACATTTCTCTTGATTTTAGTGCTAGCTTTTATTATTTCAATGCAATTTTTTTTGTTAAAATAATAACAAATCGTTATTAATTCATGTACTAATTTTATTCAGAAATCGTATTTATGAAAACCAATTGTTATGTATTTTATTAATAAAAATTAGTTATGTTATAAATGGAGATACTTTATTTAAAATCATAAGTGTGTGTTTCTTTTTTATATGTATACATCTTAATGAGCGATAGAACGTTGCTACATGCTACTGAACAGTGCAGCTAGTAATATATAACACCAATACCTATTTTTAACTTATTTTATGAATTATCTTGTAAGCTAAACTCATAATTACCATCCCAACAAGATACCCGAGAAGGATCTATAATGGTCCAAGGCAAGCTAAAGGCAAAACTAGAGCACCATGGTTTTTGTACCTTGTCCTAGGGAGGAAAAGGTTATAAGTAACAATTATAACTTAATATAACAATTTTTAAAACTTATTAAATGTTATAATGTCATTTTGTAACTATCAAAACAAAATAAAATAAAAAATTATCAATGAAACCGAATAAATCAATAAAATCGATCAAATTAAATGAGCAGAACTCCCCAAAAAAATCATTGAAAAGATCATTACGAACAATTTTCTTTCAATCCACGTCCCTCCCCATCAAATATTTTTTCAAGCTACATCAAAAATTTACCCACTTATAAATATTTTCACTATTTTTTTTTATTTTTAGAATTTCAACACACTATTATGATAATTTTATAGAAAATAGTTAATTAAAATGCTCATTGTTTGATATTGGAGAAAACAAGAGATACCTTGTTATGGAATAGGTAAGGGGCGGTGCAACATAGATTTTTTGTTGTAAGTTAGTCGTAAACCGGACATCGAATGGTAAATCCGACGTGCCTAATGTTTTATTCGTATTTGAAATATAAAAGTTATGTCGTAAAAATACAGTCCACATTACTAATTAAAACAGAGATATTAGTCTAAATTTAATATATCATAAGCTTCCAACTACTCATATTTTCAAAAAGTATCATTGTAACTTGCTTTAATTTAATTTTAGTAATTTTTAGATGTCCCACATTTATGTCAACCACGCAATAATATTTCCCAACTGTACAAACAATGTTCAACTGACTTTGAGTTATAGCCTGATAAAGGTATGTTAACAAAATTATGTATTTTAATAAACTAAAAGTTCTAATAAAAAAACTAAATATAATTTATTTGTTCATAATTGTTGTTTAATTGAATAGTTTGATATAAATTAGATCAAATAGTTAATTTTAAAAAGTATGGAATATTATCGAGTTAATTTAAATTTATATAGGTTAAAGATTAAGAATCGTATTAAATCATTACATTTTTATCATAAAATAAGTATCAAGAAATGTAAAAAAATATGTTGTCTTAAAATCATTATAATTATTAACTTCTTCTATACATGTATTTTATTACATTATAATTACATAATATGCATTGCATATAAATACTACATGCAATCAACTAATTGTCCTGAACAAATAACTAATTTTTAGTTTTTTAGTTTATTAAAACACATGATTTCTTTTAATATATTGACACCAAAAAAATATAGATCTCATACTAGTTGTTTACTTCGCTTATTTTAGAAATTTGGGTTAGGATAGCCGAATATGTCATCCTGTTTGACAAAACATTAAAATACTTTATGTTGCCTATTAAACACAACAATATAAAATTCAACTAATTTTACTCAAAATTAATATATAAATGTTCTAAATATAATGACACGTTTAGAATGTATTTTTTACAAGATAGATTATATCTTTGTTGCAGTAAACACTGAAAGACATAGAAGTCTCTTTTACAATATTTTGTATGCGCTATCCTTTAGCGATTTTTTATTACATAAAGCTGAGATACATATCATTGAAAGTTCATTTTCAGTCGTGTAGTATGCATTTCAATTATTCTTTTTAAATATTATTTGTTATCATTTAAAATGCAATTATACTACGAAAAAACTATAACATGGTATCATTTAAAATATATATTATATATTTACATAATAGAAACTGATAATTGGAAATTGTTTTAGGTTTCAATTTTACAAATTTTATTGTTATTATATTATTTAAATTTATTTGATATAACAACAAAATGTCTTATACAAATTAGAGACTTATGCATATTTGATTTTTTTGTCTTTTAAATGAATATTTAAACCTAAGTTATAGTTTTATAAAACGTTAAACTGACCAAGAATTACTTATTTATTTTTAAAGCCAAATTTATGCTGAAATTAAAATTTAGTAAAAAGTCATGAATAAAATAATATTGACGTTAATTTTATATGACGAATAGACTAAATGTATAAAATGTTACTGGTATTCAATTATAATATAGTAATAGCGATTTCCATGATAAATGCATAAATCGTGAAGGTATTCAAGTTATTTAAATTAGAAACAGATCTTTCATCGTGTTCAAATACTCAAAGGGCTGAAAGAGAATGTTTTATTTGATGAAGTATTCATTACCTATAGATAGGATTACATAACTAGGCCTCCAAAAATGTCTTAAAAAATATTAGAGCTAATCATCTAATTTAGTTAAAAAAAAAATGTTTTTCATTTTATTCGATTTTTAAATATAATATATTTAAAAATATACAAATATGTTTGTTTTAAATCACACCTTTTTTGCAAGAACGACATAATGTTGTTGTTTTAGGCGTATGGTTTTACCTTGAGCGTGGATAAATAAAAAAATATTTTTTCGTTGTAATAGCTAAAGAAAAATATCACGAATAAAGTTTGTTGGATAAATAAAAAAATATTTTTTCGTTGTAATAGCTAAAGAAAAATATCACGAATAAAGTTTGTTGGATAAATAAAAAAAATATTTTTTCGTTGTAATAGCTAAAGAAAAATATCACGAATAAAGTCTGATACAAATTAGATAGGGAATTTTTTAATAAAAATTAAACGGGGAACGTTGATCTTTTTGTTATTTTTATATAAAATTATTATATATAAAATAATTTGCTTATAATTAAAAATTGCATAATACATACAATATTTTTTAAGAGGATAGTAGGTGTCATTTTCCTAATTGGAAAATACATATATAATATATTTTTTAAGAACTACGTATATAATTTAGGTAATTCTTAATTATTTATTAGCTTAATTATAAAGCTTTGAAATCTCAACGTCTCCCAGTAAAAAGATCATCTTGCTCCAAATTTCAAGTTAAAAAACGAATTCGTCTTTTTTTTAATTAATTAATTATTTTAACTTAATTAATATTAATTAATGAGATTTTTACTTATTGGTCTTAGTATATCAAGTAGTATTATTACCATATTTTTATTTTTTATGGTAAATACGTTCTATAAAATATTCAATTAAGACTTAAGGTATCAACTTGACTCACCCTTTCCTATAATTACCAACTTATAAAAATATTGCTGACAACAAGAGTGTCACACACTTTCAAACTTCTTATAGGCCTCTTTTACAATTAAAAAAATGTTTTCAAATACGTGTACTGATAGTTTTTAATGTATACAATGTAAAGAAAAATTTAGATAAATAGTAATAAAAATCTTATATTCGTGTAGGAATTTTCGATTTTTTTTATCAAAATT